GTGCAATCTGGGTTTCCCTATAATAGGCTGTTAGAGCACCTCAAGCTTTGGAGAGCTTCTGTTCAACCATTTGAAAGCTCCCTCCTTGAGTGGTGATGGCATGATCGTCAGCATAGATGAAGTTCTCTGTCCCTTCTGGCAGTCGGTGATCATTTGTGTTAATGCTAAACATTGATGGAGGGAGCTTGCTCCCCTGAGGCAGGCTATTTCAACCAAAAAATAGACGATAGCAAACAAATATCTGCTTAAAGTTCAATAGTTCTTAAATGTGATCTTTCCATTTTCTGGCCTCGCTTTTTCCTGGTTGATAAGCAAAATTATACATCAATAAAAGGACGCTTCATTGGATTCTCTCTTCCTTTTTCCCCATTTCTCCTTTCTGCCCTTCCCAGGCTCTTCCTTCCCCTTCCTTGCAGTTAGGGCATGTTTAAAAATAAATTAGTACAAAAATAAGTTGAGAGGGGGGAAAAGAGAGCGCATTATCCCCAAGGAGGAATTGAGGGATTTCTCTTTCTCTCTCGCAATTTTTTGGAGACGGAAAATAGATATCGAGGAACGGGAGCAATCCGCTTTGATCCGCAGCCTCCATTCAAAGACCCGCAGCGAGGAGATGAATGTGGAGCGAAAAGATTGCCGAAGGCCTGAAGGAAGACAAGGGAATCGGACCGGGCCACCGCCGAGCTCTGAAGATCAGAACAGGGTTTTTAACGTCTTAGATGCGCGCCAAAGGCTTCAGATCTCTCAAGGAGGTTTATCCCACCACGGTTTTCCAGCCTGCCTTCTCCGGCACCAAGGAGGCCACCGTCGCCAACAAGGAGGCAACACGCACCGCGGAATCCGAGGATGTTATGGACCAGTGTGCAAAATTGAATGGATGCAAGGATTCCTCCATCTTTCACCACAAACTGATAGGCAGGTAATAGAAATAGATCAATAGATTGATCGATCGATTGATTGATAGATCACAGAAACAGCTAGACAGGCATATGATAAACAGATAGATGGTCCACCGCAGGAGAAGGCAAACTAATAGATTGATAGATCAATCGATTGATTAATAGATCGATAGATAGATAGATCACAGACGATAAACTGAGAAATGGATGAATTGATGGTCGGATATAGATAGAGGAAAGGTGGATCACAGAAATAGATAGAGTGATAAGTGATAGACAGACAAAACAGATGATAGACAGGGAGAGAGAGGGAAAGAGGTGGGAGGTGAGAGATAGACAGAGCGACAGATGGACAGAGAGATAGGCAGATCGAGAAGACAGATCTTAGAAATAGGTAGATGGATGGACGGACGGATGGACAGACAAATGGACAGGCATACTATATGTATGATAGATAGATAGCTCATAGAAAGAGATGGATGGATAGACAAACGGACAGAGGATAGATAGATAGATAGATGATAGATAGATAGATAGATAGATAGATAGATAGATCACTCATAGAAAGAGATGGATGAACAGACGGATGGATGATGGATAAATAGATAGATCATAGAAAGAGATAGATGGATAGACAAATGGAAAGAGGATAGATAGATAGCCTGACAAACAGACAGAGGATGGATGGATAGATAGATAGATAGATAGATAGATAGATAGATAGATGATAGATAGATAGATAGATAGATAGATAGATAGATAGATAGATGATACATGGATAGATAGCTCATAGAAAGAGATGGATGGATAGACAAACAGACCGAGGATCGATAGACAGATAGATCACTCATAGAAGGAGATGGATGAACAGACGGATAGACAATGGATAAATAGATCATAGAAAGAGATAGATGGATAGACAAATCCATCTATCTCTATGGAAAGAGGATAGATAGATAGATAGATAGATAGATAGATAGATAGATAGATAGCCTGACAGACAGACGATGGATGGATAGATAGATAGATAGATAGATAGATCATGGAAAGAGTGAGATGGATGGACAGATGCATGGACAGATGGACAGATGATAGATAGATAGATAGATAGATAGATAGATAGATAGATAGATGAAAGATAGATAGATAGATTGATAGATGGATAGGTAGCTCGTAGAAAGAGATGGATGGATGAACAGACGGATGGATGATGGATAAATAGATAGATCATAGAAAGAGATAGATGGATAGAGAAATGGAAAGAGTATAGATAGACAGACAGACAGATAGCCTGACAGACAGACGATGGATAGATCGATAGATAGATAGGTAGATAGATAGATAGATAGATAGATAGATAGATGATTGATAGATAGGTAGCTCATAGAAAGAGATGGATGGGTAGACAAATGGACAGAGGATAGATAGATAGCTCATAGAAAGAGATGGATGGATGAACAGACGGATGGATGATGGATAAATAAATAGATCATAGAAAAAGATAGATGGATAGACAAATGGAAAGAGGATAGATAGATAGATAGATAGATAGATAGAT